TGTATTTCTTTGTGTCTTGTTGATATTTGCAGTGACATGCTTTGCTTTTTTTATTTTCTGTTGCATATCTGCATTTTTTTATGGTTACCAATTACATAAAATCTCTTAAATAAGTTACAACTCTATATTTTAAACTGGTAACAACTTGCACTCAGTTGCCTACAAAAATTCTTGCTCATTACATCTGCCCTTAACTTATGACATCACTAAGTATATCATCTACTAATGAGTATTTTAATTTTCATGATGTCTTTCCAATTTTAAAGCACAATTGTTTTCTGCTTAATTATTGTAATACTACAAAGTTTTATTTTTGTGTGTGTGCATATCTTTCCCAGAGAGTTGTGTATGTTTATATGACTTGGTTTGTTTTCTATCATTTTAAATTTTCAATGGGAAAGACTTCTTTTCTCATTTCTTGCAGGTGATGTACTGGTGATGTACTTACTCAGCATTTAGTTATCTTGGAAAATCTTTATTTTTAAAATTTTGTGGGACAGTTTTGCTGAAAGTTTTTGTTCCTTCAGGACTTGGACTATATAACCCAACTCCCCTCTTGTCTGCAGGGTTTTTGTTCAAAAATTCACTGGTAATCTTGCAGGAGCGAGCATATAGGTGATACATCCCTCTTGTCTTTCTGCATTCAAGATTCTCTTCTTTTCTATGGCTTTCAAAACTTTGCTTATATTGTGCCTTGTTATGGGTCTCTTTATCCGAGTTGAAGTTTGTTGAGCTTCAGTTTTTAATATTTTTTTCTTACATTGGATAATTTCTCAGTCATGTTTTGTATATTTCTGCTCTACAATTTCTTTCCTTCGGTCATTTTGTTGATATTCTTATTTTCCTGATTACACTTAGTTTTCTGTGTTTCCATGTTAGACATTGAGCATAATTGAGATGGTTATCTTGATTTTTAAAGATAATTTATACATGTTCATTTCTTTAGGGTTGATTTCTGCATACTTGTTTCTTTGATTGGGCCATGTTAGTCTGATGCTTTATATATATTGTAACGTTTAGTTGAGATGCGTACATTAAATAAAAAGCCATCTGTCAGTCTGTGTAAAGTGACTTTCAACCCTGAAGTATCTTACACCAGTTTACCAGACTAGATATTGAAAATTTCTCAAACCTGTTCTTTAGATGTCTCTTCCTTAGATTTGTGTTCCATTTATTGAGTTATGTGGGTTTGCCCATGTTTCTGCTGAAGAGCCTGTAATAAGTTGATATACCTGCTTTTTCTGTGTGGTCCTACAGTCTCTCTGCTGCTGTAACAATCATTTACCTTTGGTCTCACAGACACTAACCTGTCATTCAAAGTATAGCACCATTTCTTTCAGCACTCTGGTTCACAGTAGACAGAAGCCAGTCTTTGGAAAGACCCCTCAAGGCAGAAGTATGGACACATGTGCCACTATTTTTTTTTTTTTTTCACTTTTGAGAGAGAAGCCAGGAATTGAGAGTTTACACTTAAAGGCATTATTTTATATTGGGGAGGAGGTATGGCTGTGGTGGATAAATGTAACAGATGTTCTTTTGTCTTCTCTGTGGATTTTGGCATCATTCTCATCTGTGACACTGCAATCTTTTAACTGGGTTTTAGAGCTCTTACAAAGGCATTTTGGTCAATATATTTTTGTTACATTTACATGTCTATTAAGGAATTTGGGCTTGTGGTATTATGCCATTTTATTGTGCTTGGCATAATTTTATATTTTGTATTTGTAAAGTATATTCACCTGAGCCTAATAAGTGGTATAGTTTATTTTTATTCCTTTTAGCTGTGTCCTCTCATTTTACTCCAGAACTTTTGCCTGGGCAGAGCATAAAACATTTATTCCCAAAAGTGATACTGAGAAGATATGAAAGCTATGGCATTGAAGAGTTAAACTTAAAAGACCTGAAAAGTGTGGGTTAGTGTAAGGGACAGAAAAAAAGTTATAATGGACTTAACCAATGTTAATCTTTCAATGTGATGAATGTGGCAAAGCCTTTAACTGGTGCTCAATTTTACTCAACATAAGAGAATTCATACAGGAGAGAAACCCTACAAATGTGAGGAATGTGGCAAAGCCTTTAACTGGTTCTCAAACCTTACTCAAAATAAGAGATTTCGCACCCTAGAGAAACCCTACAAATGTGAAGAATGTGGCAAAGCCTTTAACCAGAGCTCACACCTTATGGACATAAGAGAATTCATGCTGTAGAGCAACCTTACACATGTGAAGAATGTGCCAAAGACTTTCAACCAGGGCTCACCTCTCACTGGACACAAGAGAGCTCATACTGGAAGGAAACCCTGCACATGTGAAGAATATGGCAAACCTTTCAACTAGTTCTCATACTTTTCTCAACATAAGAGAATTCATACTGGTGAGAAACTGTACAACCGGTGAGAAACTGTACAACCATGAAGAATGTGAAAAAGCTTTTGTGCATGGCTGAATCCTTACTAAAAATAAGAGAATTCATACTGGAGAGACATGCTACAAATGTGAAGAATGTGGCAAAACCTTTAACCAGAGCTCACATCTTATTGAACACAAGAGAATTCACACTGGAGAGCAACCCTGCAAGTGTGAAAAATGTGGCAAAGCCTTTAACTGGTTCTCAAACCTTACTAAACCTAAGAGAATTCATACTGGAGAGAAACCCTAGAAACGTGAAGAATGTGGTAAGTCTTTGATCAGTGCTCAATCCTTACTGAATATAAGATAATTCACATGATAGAGAACCCTTACAATTGCAAGGAATGTAGCAAAGGTTTTAATTTGTGCTCATTTTACTATAAGTAAATTCATTCTGGAGAGAAACCCTAAACATGTGAAGATGTGGCAAAGTCCAGCCCTCAGGCCTTATACATACATAAAACTATTTGTACTGGAAAAAATCACTACAAGGGTGGGGAATGTGGCCAGACCTTTAACCAGTTCCAAACCTTTATTGTACATAAGGGAATTCATCATGAACAAAAATCTTATGAATGTAAAAAAATGTAACAAAGCCTTTAACCAGCCCTCAAACCTTAATGAACCTAAGAGATTTTATTTTTAAAACCAATTTTTTTTAAAGATGGAATCTCACTTTTTCAGCCAGGCAGGAGTGCAGTGGCACTATCTCGGCTCACTGCAACCTCTGCCTTCCCAGTTCAATTGATTCTTCTGCCTCAGTCTCCTGAGGAGCTGGGATTACAGGTGCATGTCACCACACTGGCTGGTTTTTGTATTTTTAGTAGAGATGGGGTTTCAACATGTTGGCCAGGCTGGTGTCGAACTCCTGACTTCAGGTGATCCACCTGCCTCAGCTTCCCAAAGCCTAAGAGAATTTGTATTACACCTTACAAGGGATAAAAATGTGACAGAACCTTTAAGCACATCTCAGGCCTTACATAATATCTGATCACTTTCTAGAGACAAACCCTACAACAGCAAAAAATGTGGTAAAACTTTTAACTAGTCTTGAATGCTTGTTATACATAAGACAATTAATATGAAGAGAAACTCTACAATAAGGAATATGACAATGTCTTTAAAAAGTCCTTAAATCTGAATAAATGTAAGATAATTGATATTAGAGAGAACCCCAGCAATTACAGAAGACACATGTGGCAAAGCCTTTAACTGGTTCTCCATCCTTATTAATTATTAATTAAGCAATTTTATACTGGAGAGAAACTCCACATACATAAAAAATGTGATGGAGCATTTAACCACAACTCAATCTTTTCTAAGAAACAAACCACACTGGTGAGAAACTCTGTGTGGTTTGTTTCTCACACTGGTGGAAATGTGTTAAATGTGGCAAGGCCTGGAAAGGCCATCGTTGAGACATGAGCTTGGCCTACGGAGGCCACTGAGAGACAGGAGCTGGGCTTGCAGATGGGAGAGACCGCCACGTGAGAGGTGGAGAAAGGGCCTCTACAGGCCAATGGGAGGCAGGAGCTGGCCCTGGAGGGGCCCACTTGAGGCAGGCAGGTAGGCAGGAACCTGGCCCCGGGAAGCCACTGTGAGGTGACGCCAGGCCTGGAGAGGCCCCTGGGAGGCAAGTGTGGGGCCCACAGAGTTGGGCCTGTAGGGGCTGCCGGGAGGCAGGCAGGCAGGCAGGCAGGAACATGGCCCTGGGAAACCACTGTGAGGCGAGAGCCAGGCCTGGAGAGGCCCTGGGAGGAAAGAGCGGGGCCCGCAGAGGCTGTTCTCCAGCCAGAGCTGTGTCTGTGCAGGCCACCAGGAGGCAGAAGGTGGGCCTATAGAGCTCTGGCTGGAGAAAGGTTTGGAGCTGGGTCTGCGCAGGCCACTGAGAGGCAGAAGGAGCAGGGCCTGTGGAAGCTGCCAGAAGGCAGGAGCTTCAGACAGGGGAGGCTGCAGCGAGGTGGAGGCCTGGGTGTGGGACAGTCCGCTGTGAGGCGGAGGCTGGGCCTGTATACAGGCCTTCAGGAGGCAGTATGCTGGGCCCAGAGAGGCCGATTGGAGGTCATGTTCTGGGCCTGAAGAGGCCGCCAAAAGTCAAAAGCGGGACCTGGGAAAGCCGCCAAGAGGCACGAGCTGGGCTGGGCCTAAAGAGGCCATTGGGAGGCAGGAGGAGCTGTGCCTGGAGAGGCTGATGGGAGGAAGTTGTGCACCTGGAGAGGCTGCCAAGAGGCAAAAGCCGGGATGGGGGAGGCCTACTTGAGGACGACTTGGGCCTGTAGAGGCCACCGGGACCCAGGAGCTGGCCCCGGAGAGGCCGACTTGAGGGGAACTTGGGCCTACAGAGGCCGCCGGGAGGAAGAGCCGGCCCGGAGAGGCCGACTGGAGGAAGTGCTGGGCCTGGAGAGGATGCAAAGCAGCAAATGCTGGGCCTGGAAAGGCCGCCATCGAGGCATGAGCTTGGCCTACAGAGGCCACTGGGAGGCAAGAGCTGGGACTGCAGAGTCCGCCGAAGGACAGAAGCTTGGCCCGAGGGGTCCGCGGTGAGGCAAGATGCAGGCCCGGAGAGTGCCCAGTCCGAGGTAGAGTCTGGGCCTAGAGAGGCAACCCACAGGCAGGGGCTAGGCCTGGAGAGCCACGAGAGGCATCAGTTGGGCCCCAGTGGGCCAGCGTGAGGGAGGACGTCAGCCCAGAGAGGCCAGTGTGAGGCAGGAGTTCATACCTCTGGGCCGGCCGCGAGAGGCATGAGTTAGGCCAAAACAGGCCACGGTGTGGGAGGAGCTGGGCCTGTTGAGGCTGCTGGGACGCAGGCAGGCAGGAACCTGGCCTCGGGAAGCCACCGGGAGGCGAGAGCCGGGCTTGGATAGGCCCCTGGGAGGCCAGCATGGGGCCCGCAGAGGCTGTTCTCCAGCCAGAGCTGGGTCTGTGCACGCCACCGGGAAGCAGAAGGTGAGCCTACAAAGGCTTTCTCAGCTCTGGCTGAGAAAGGTTTGGGCCTACAAAGGCTGGCAGGAGCTGGGCAGGAGCTAAGCCCACAAAGTTTGCTTGTTGCGAGGCAGCAGTCAGGCCTGTTGATGCAGCCAGGAGCAAGGGGAAGGGCTGGGCCTGGAGAGGCCGCCATGAGGGAGGCCGAGAATGGGCCTCTACAGGTCTGGAGAGGCCACCAAAAGCGGACAAACTGGGCGCGGAAAGGCCATTGTGAGGGGTGAGCTGGGCCTGAGGAGGCCATCGGGAGGCAGGAACGGGCCCTATTGAAGCCGCCGGAAGGCAGGAGCGCAGCCTAGGTGTGGGAGAGTGCACTGTGAGGCAGAAGCTAATCCTGTACACGGGCCTTCGGGAGGCAGGAGGCTGAACCCGGAGAGGCTGACAGGAGGTCAAGTTCGGGGCCTGAAGAGGCCACCAAGAGTCAAAAGTGGGGCCTGGGAAGGCCACCAAGAGGCACGAACTGGGCTGGGCATAAAGAGGCCATCGGGAGGCGGGAGGAGCTAGGCCTGGAGTGGCTGATGGAAGTTGTGCACCTGGAGAGGCTGCCGAGAGGCAAGAGCTGGGCCGGGGGAAGCCGACTTGAGTATGACTTGGGCCTGCAGAGGCCACCGGGAGGAAGAGCCAGGCCCGGAGAGGCCTACTGGAGGTCAGGTTCCGGGCCTGAAGAGGCCACCAAAAGCAAAAGCGGGGCCTGGGAAGGGCACCATCAAGGCATGAGCTTGGCCTACAGTGGCCACTGGGAGGCAGGAGCTGGGCCTGCAGAGCCCCCCGAAGGGCAGGAGGTTGGCCCAAAGGGGCCACGGCGAGGCAAGAGGTGGGCCCGGAGAGGGCCCACTGCGAGGTAGAGGCTGGGACTGGAGAGCCTGCCCACATGCAGGGGCTGGGCCTGGAGAGGCCACGAGAGGCATGAGCTGGGCCCCAGTGGGCTGGCGTGAGGGAGGACCTCGAACCAGAGAGGCCAGTGTGAGGTAGGAGCTCCCACCTCTGGGCGGGACACGAGAGGCATGAGCTGGGCTGAAACAGGCCAGGAGGAGCTGGGCCTGTCGAGCGGCATGAGCTGGGCCTGGAAAGGCCGTTGTGAGGAGTGAACTTGGCCTGAAGAGGCATCGGGATATTATTCATCCATAGAAGGAAAGATATATTGATATTTCACACATTATGACATAAGGAAGTTTGAAAACGTGCTAAGAGGGAAAAAAGCCTCAAAAGATCACACATTGTACAAGTCTGTTTGTCCAGGTTAGGCAAATCTATAGTGACAAAAAATGAATCAATGGTTGCCTAAGCCTGGGGGCCAAGGCAGGTGTGGGGAGTAGAACGTAGTGGCTAAGGGGTTTGGATTTCTCTGTAGGGTAATGAAAGATTCTAAGAGTGACTGTGGCTCACAGTTCTGCAGACTATATAAGTAGCATGGTTCCAGGCCAGGCACAGGGGCCCACACCTGTAACCCCAGCACATTGAGACATTGAGGCAAAAGGTTTGCTTGAGCCCAGAAGTTTGAAACAAGCCTGGGAAACATGGTGAGACCTTGTCTCTATTAAAAATTTAAAAATTAGTCAGGTATGATGGTACACTAATACATGCCTGGGGTCCCAGCTACTTTGGAGGCCAGGGTAAAAAGACCTGGGAAAGTGCTAGGATTACAGGAAGGAGCACCACATCTGGCCAGTTTATTTTCTATTACTGGCTCAATGTAAAGGCTGCGTCTCAGGAACAGCCAATGAAAGAGACGCACAGGGTAAGGTAAGTGGGGAGGGGCACTTCCATGCCCTCTGTTGGGCACGCTATCCTCCCAGCACCTCCTTATGTTCAGCATCTCAGAAGTTCTCCAAACCCTATTGTTTAGGGATTTTATGGAGTCATGATAAAATCATTGGCCATTGGTGGTTAAGTCAATTTCCAGCCCCTTTTGCTTCCTGGAGTTCAGCCGGTGAGGCTGAAAGTTCCAAGCCTCAAAAAATATGGTTGGAGCCGGACGTAAGGTCTCAGCCTGTAATCCCAGAACTTTGGGAGGCCAAGGTGGATGGATCACTTGATGTCAGGGGTTCAAGACCAGCCTGACCAACATGGTGTAACCCTGTCTCTAGTAAAAAACAAAAACTAGCTGGGCATGGTGGCGGGAGCCTGTATGTAGTCCCAGCTACTCAGAAGGCTGAGTCAGGAGAATCATTTCAACCCAGGAGGTGGAAGTTTCAGTGAGCCAAGATTGTGACAACATACTCCAGCTTGGGTGACAGCGAGACTGTGTCTCAAAAAAAAAAAAAAAAAAAGAAAAAGAAAAAAAAATTAGCCAAGTGTCTCAGCTCATAGGGAGGCCAAGGCAGGAGGATTGTTTTAGTCTGAGAGGTTGAGGTTGCTGTGAGCTGTAATTGCACCACTGTACTTTATCCTGGGCAATAGAGCAAGACCCTCTTTCAAAAAGAAGAAAAAAATAAGCATGATGGGAATGGGGACAGATGGCAATGTTAAGTAGAGTGGTCAGGGTTGGCCTCATAAGTGAAAATTGAGCAAAAGTTTGAAGCAGGTGATGGAGCTGGCCAAGGTGCTGAGGGAAGAGCATTGTAGGTTGAATCAACAGGATTAATGCATTGAGAGGAAACTCCCCGGTGTGCCTGAGGCTCTGGAAGGAGGCCAGTGGAGCAAAGAGATAGAGGGAGATAAGTAGGAGAGGAGCCAGGGAGTTGCTGGGCTGGGATCAGTACAGATCGTGTAAGCCCTGGGAAGTTATTGCTGGAGCTTTTACTTTTACTCTGACTAAAATGAGAACTTCAGGGTGGTTCAGAGCAGAGAGGCAACATGATCTGTCTCCTGATTTAAAAGCACTCCCTGGCTGCTGAGTTGAGAAAGACTGTGGGAAGATTTGGGTAGAAGCATGAGGGTCAAGTTGTGGCAACATCCAGGTGGGAGATGGTAGTGGTCCTGACCAGGGTCATCGTGGTGGTGAGAGATGGTCAGAGCCTGGATGCATGTTGAAGTCAGTCAACAGGATTTCCTGACAGACTGGATGTGAACTGCGAGAGAAGGCAGGAGTCAAGGTTGAGTTTGATCCTAATTGAATTATTAGGTAATTAAAAAAACAACATCACTGCCTTTCCCAGTCCTACCAACTAATGGTTGCAAGATTAAAGAAATCTCAAGTCAGGCCAGATGCAGTGGCTCACACCTATAGTTCCAACAGCTTGAGAAGCAGAGATGGGAGTACGTTTTAAGGCCATGAGTTCAAGAGCAGCCTGGGCAACATAGCAAGACCTCCTCTCTACAAAAATAAATTTGATAAAATAAAATAAATATAGCTGGACATGGTGGTGTGTACCTATGGCCTCAGTTACTCAGGAAGCCAGGTAGATAGATCTTTTGAAGCTAGAAGTTTGAGGCCAGCTTGGGAAACATAGCAAGACTTCTCGCTTTTACAGGGCTCATGCTGCCTTTTCTTTGTTTATATCTTGCTTGGATGGAGACATGATGACAGGAGCTCCCTCTGTCACCGTGCACCAGAAACGAAAGTGAGAAGATGCACAGGGAAGCCAGTCTTACCACGTTTGAGCAACTAAACCACTGTCAGCCTCAGCCTACCTGCACAATTACTTTTATATGAGAAAAACAGGCATCTCCCTATTTGGAAAACCACAGCTGGGTTGCAGTAGCAAACAATACTCAAGTTATTCCTGGTAACATTGTTCCTACAGCCCTAATCTGTCTGAAAAAAAGAAAAGAAAAGAAAAAAAAATGATCCTAATGCAGTTATTTCCTCTTGCATTCATGAGGAGATGGAAGAAATACCCATATTGGATGGTTGGTTGGGAATTGTCTTTGGTATTGTATGAAGTATTTTAATATTGTAAACATGAAAAGATGAGAATCCTAGAGACTCCATGGACATGGAGAAAAGAAAGTACATTAGAGGATGTTGTAGGAAATACTTTCATTCCAGGCACTGCTGTTTAAACTACCCCTAAACTTTCTTTCCTTAAAAGAACAGAAAAAACAAAGAGGACAAAAGATCAAAAAACATTCCATGTGACCCTCTCCACTCTTGTTTCTTGTAATAAAGGAAAAGCATTTTAGGGACTTTCTTGAGTGCAGTTTATGATGTGATCCAAGTTATTTATTTTCTGTTAATGATTTTCAAAATTTTAATTAAAAACATTCAGAAATTTACCTTTATCAAAGGCAGCTGCTCACAGGTAAAACTAGTTTGGTTAACTTCATCTGTATAAACACATAGCTAGTGAACTGACATAACTATTAAACTTAAGAATCAATGGAAACATGCCAAGGACTGGCCCTTACCTTCCACAGTGACCTCAATTTCAGGAACTTGTCATCAATTTACAGGTGAGTCATTTGCCATGAGCAAATGAAAAAGAATTTGGAAGCACAGCACAAAGAATTAGAGGAAAAATTATGGACAAGTTCCCTACAATCAAGCAATATCCACTTCATATTGAAGGCATTTTGCTTAGCTTATTGGGCAAATCTGAAGAACAAGCCTAAAAGATAAGTACTTTTAAAAGAAACATTTAACACTTTTTTCTTTTTTTCTTTTTTTTTTTTTTTTTTGAGACAGAGTCTTGCTCTGTCGCCCAGACTGGAGTGCAGTGGCATGATCTCAGCTGACTGCAATCTTCATCTCCCAGATTCAAGCAATTCTCTGGCCTCAGCCTCCCAAGTAGCTGGGACTACAGGCACACACCACCATGCCTGGCTAATTTCTTCTATTTTTACTACAGAGGGGGTTTCACCACGTTAGCCAGGATGGTCTCAATCTCCTGACCTTGTGATCTGCCTCCCATGGCCTCCCAAAGTGCTGGGATTACAGGCGTGAGCCACTGCACCCGGACCATTTTAACACTTTCAGTCAAAAGGAGAATTACATTATTAGTCAAAATGACCTCTGTGTTCTAAGCAGAAATGACTGAAGGCCATTCCATACAGCAGTGGTCCCTGGTAGCCTTTCCATTCTCATCAAGAGGCAGGGTAGCTGTTCAACAAAAGGTGGTTTCTATCATGCAACTAAGCAGTGCTCAATAAGTTCAAGTCATCAGATGCAGAGTAGTCAGGATTTCTGATGAGGGACAGGAAACGTCAACACCACGTATTGAGATAATGGACAGGAATGCCCTGGGAATGCTGTGAGCGCTCCCCACTCCCAATCAACAGAAACACACTTTTTTGCTGAGGCTCCTCAGAATCATTCAAGACAGCAATCCAGGAAACTGCTGT